CGGCTTCCCCCGCCGCGCCGTCCCCAGGGAGGGGGCAGCCCCCGCTCTAGACGTGCGTCGGGTTGTCCAGATACGGGTCCGTCTTGGTCATGTGCAGCATGACCGCGGGGGCTTTGTAGTGGCAGGGCACCCCGCCGCAGCTCACCCCGCTGCAGGGCTTGCCCCTCGTCCTCACGCCCAGCTTTCTGTTGCACAGGCTCTGCCAGGTCTGCAGGGTCTTGGAGCTCCAGACCCACACCCCGCTGGTGATGCCCACCACCAGCGACATGAAAATCTTTAGCATAAAGACGGCCACGGTGGGCACCGAGGCCTCCAGGGAGCAGTTGGCGGCACGCCGGCCGGGGAGGTGCAGGCAGCCGCGCTCCAGGGCCCTGAGGTTCCAGTAATCCACGTTCAGCCGCTCGTAGAAGTAGCAGACGATGACGCAGGTGGCCGGGACGGTGTAGAGGATAGAGAAGACCCCAATCTTCACCATCAGCTTCTCCAGCTTCTCCGTGTTGGTGCCGCCCGTCTTCATGATCTTCCGGATGTGGAAGAGGGCGACGAAGCCCGTGAGGATGAAGGAGGTGCCGATGACCAGGTAGCAGGAGAGGGGGATGAGGACGAAGCCGGTCAGGGCGCTGACGTCCATGCTCCCCACGTAGCACAGCCCCGTGAGCTCGTCCCCTGCCACCTTCCGCATGGTGAGGATGACGATGGTCTTCATGGCCGGGATGCCCCAGGCGGCCATGTGGAAGTAGCTGCTGTGGGCCTCGATGGCCTCGTGTCCCCACTTCTTCCCGGCAGCCAGGAACCAGGTCAGGGTGAGGACGACCCACCAGAGCGAGCTGGCCATGCCGAAGTAGTAGAGGATGAGGAAGACGATGGTGCAGCCCGTGCTCTCCAGCCCCTCCTGGATGATGTAGAGCTCACCATTCTCCCGGTCACAGGCGATGTTCTCGGCCCCTGCCACCGAGCGGATGATGAAGGCCACGGAGTAGACGTTGTAGCACATGGAGAGGAAGATGATGGGCCTCTCGGGGTACTGGAAGCGGTGGGGGTCGAGCAGGAAGGTGAGGACGGTGAAGGCGGTGGAGACGAAGCAGAGGGTGGACCAGACGGCCATCCAGATGAAGGCAAAGTCCTTGTCCTCGCGGGACCAGTAGACGTCCACCCCGGGGGAGCACCGGGGCGCGCAGGAGAGGCTCTTCTCCACGTACTGGAACTTCTCGGGGTTGTCGCAGGCCCCCAGGCCGTTGGGTCCCCGGCCCTCAGCGGTGCCCGGCGGCCAGGGCCGGGGGGCCACGGGCAGCATGCCCTGGCCTTTGTGGGGCTCGGCGGCCGAGGCGTTCTCGGGGGCCTCCATGCAGAGGGCGTTGGGGTCGTTCTTGGTGGGCAGCTTACCGCAGTCGAGCGACTCGGGCCAGCCGAAATTGAACTGCTCCATGATGGGGACGCACTTGTGGCGGGCCTGCTCGCACATGGGGCGGCAGGCGGGGATGCTGGCGCTCACCTGGTCGGTGCACATGGGCGCGTAGAGGGAGCAGAGGAAGAAGCGCAGGTGGACGTGGCAGCCGTACTCCACCAACGGGGCGAACTCGTGCAGCTTCAGGGCGGCTTCGCGCTGGCTCTCGTGGCCCAGCAGGTTGGGCATGCGGGTCAGGTTGTACCCGATGCCCCGGCA